GACCTGTTTTCCGGACTGTGTGAAGACTGCGGCCTGGCGGAGGGATCCTGGAGCCACGTCTACTGGACGTGCTCCCGGAACCAACTGCCACCAACCCTGACGGCGACCATCTCTGACATCGGGGAAAAAAATCTACCGGCCTGGGAACAACTTCTGGCGGCAGAAGATTACGAAGTCCAGCTGACGATCATCACACGCACTCAAGCCATAGAAGACCGGCTTCGAGAGCGGCTGAAGACAAGACAACTCCCACCTCCCCAACCCAAATAATTAACTCGAGCCATCCCCCATGATTTCTTGGTTCAATAAAGTTCCTGAATGAATGAATGAATGAATGAATCTCGAGTACGGATCGGTGCCACTTTGTCAGGGCAGGCTCTATGGCAGTTTCCTAACTGAATGGTTTTAGGAACATTGACCCATATAGTTATTATAATGTACGCTAAGAGGTTCAACTGGATATTTTGCTCTCTTGATTGTGTGGATATTTCGCTCGCTTGATTGTGTGGATATTTTCCTCGCTTAATTCGTGTGAGGCGGGCATACATAAAGTCGGTAAGTGTTCCGCTTTGCTTCCGTACTCTGGGGTTCATGTACGAGACCCATCGGCGACACAGAAGAGCCCTGTCGAATATCGCTCAGATGGCCGCTTTCCACTCGGTCCAACCCGTGATTCTCGTGTCTTCCGTGCGGTGCCATTCGGAGGCTTGTCCGCGAAGGCGTAAGATTACTACGCTCAGCGTCGCTGGTTCGTTCCAGGTTGAGCGATTTTTCATTGACTGGATGGCAGCGAGCCATTCCAAGAAGCTTTCAGCTTCTTTTCCAGAGTAAATCAGCAGCATTGGCGTTAGATTCGGTGCCTTGGTTACGTGCATCGGGGTAACGTTGGTCGAATCGGCTTGCCATTCGAGGAGTCGTACGATCGTCTCGAGGGCCGATGCCAGGGCTGTATGGGTGGTTGTTGCATCCATTTGATTCTCCGTGGTTTTGCGTGAAATCGGGCCCGTTGTCGTAACATTGATGGACAACCAGGCGGCGGGAACGAAAATCGCCGTCCGGCGATTGTTCGATCTCGCCGCCCGGTGCAGACATGCTCAATGTAAGATTCGTGTTTTAGAGCGCAGCTCTTAGGGGCCCGTTCCCGGCTTGAGCGGCGTCGCCGTCGCCGTCGGCGTCGGCGTAACCGCAACCCTCGTAACCCTCGTGAGGGTTACGAGGGTTACGAGGGTTAATCTCATGAGAGTTACCCTCACGAGGATCACGAGGGCCACGAGGGTTACTTACCCTCGTAACCCTCACGAGGGTTACGAGGGTTAGTTACCCTCAAAAGGGTTACCTTCACGAGGGTTACCCTCACGAGGGTTACTTACCCTTGTAACCCTCACGAGGGTTACGAGGGTTACTAACCCTCGTGAGGGTAACCCTCGTGAAGGTAACCCTTTTGAGGGTTACGAGGGTTAGTAACCCCCGTGAGGGTAACCTTCACGAGGGCTACCCTCACGAGGGTCACGAGGGTTATGAGAGTTACCCTCACGAGGGTTACTTACCCTCGTAACCCTCACGAGGGTTACGAGGGTTAGTAACCCTCGTGAGGGTAACCTTCACGAGGGTTACCCTCACGAGGGTCACGAGGGTTATGAGAGTTACCCTTACGAGGGTCACGAGAGTTACCCTCACGAGGGTCACGAGAGTTACCCTCACGAGGGTCACGAGAGTTGCCCTCACAAGGGTTACTAGGGTTACCCTCACGAGGGTCACGATGGTTACCCAGGTCAAGTGACCCCCCCTGGGGTCACGTGACCTGGGGATACCCCCGAGGTCACGTGACCCCCCGTTGACGTCATAGCCACTGATGACGTCATCAGTGACGTCACTGATGATGTCACCGGCATCCGCATCGTCATCGTCATCATCACTGATGACGTCATTAGTGACGTCACTCATGACGTCACCGGCATCCGCATCGTCATCATCATCACTGATGGCGTCATCAGTGACGCTACTGATGACGTCATCGGTATCGTCACGTGGCCCCAGGTCACGTGACCCCCGCGACGTCACGTGACGCCCCAAGGTCACGTGACTCCACAAGGTCACGTGACCCCCAAGGTCACGTGACCCCCCGCCCCCGAGGTCACTTGACCCACCCCCCAGTACCCTTCCCTCCTCCTCCTCAAGAGCTGCGCTCTAATTCGGCGTTACAGGGAATTGTAAACGGCTTTCATTTTTTTTTTTTTTTGTTGGTTTTCGTTTTTCTCGTCGCCATGTTAGAACGGAGTCAGATCTGGGAAGAGATACTCTACAAAGCATTCGGGAGCACAAATACTGAGGTACATATGTTTTAAGGCCCAAAGTACAGAAACTGAAAAAAAAGTGTCTTTTACAGTACGGGATATCCCTGAGATACTTCTGCAAAACCGCGAAAAAGTATTCCCGAATTAAAATACAGATACTTATGAAAATGCACTTGTTCCCGAACGGTCTTTGGTGAGGAGGGTTTAGTGCGTGGCAAATGCGAGTGGTAATTTAAACTTCTGCTCCTTTTTTGTGCCACTTTATGCTGTTCCCCTTACCTCGAACTCTTTATTTACCATTAATCCCGCTAAAAAAGACATGCCACCTCTGTTTAACCACATAGTTACAGAACGGTAAGGACTGCGTACCATGCTGGGCAAAAGGCGTCTGCCCGAAATGAAACCTTTTTTTGCCGTGAGGGCGCATCTCAAACTGTCGTATTATAACTTTTGGGTCACCCACAGTGTGGGAAGATTTGACAACATGACCGTACTTTTTCTTCACTCAACTCCTTTAGAGCGTTCTCTCTGCTAAATTGGATTCTGGCCTCAGCTCTCGAGGAGACCAGGGGGGCTATGTTGCGCTTTTTGGACTCCCAGGAGACTAGGGAGAGGGAAGTGACGTCAACGACACAGCAAACGCAGATTGGGTGTTGATTTCGTTTTCTTCTGTCAACATCCAATCTGCATTTGCTGTGTCGTTGACGTCACTTCCCTCTTCCAAGTCTCCTGGGAGTGCAAAAAGCGCAACATAGCACCGCAGACGCACGTTCCTGAGCTCCCGCTTCACGCTTAACCATTGCCCCAATCCGAGGGGGTCCCAGCACCCCCTCGTTGCCGCCCTGGACACCGAGGACCGACGCGGAGACCTCGCCTAACCAACCGATAAGACAAGGAATCCTTGGACCTCATCAAAAGGGGATTTTCAGGGGTCCGAAGATGAACAATGGAAGCGGAACGCCGAAGCCTAACGCCGCTCTCGCGCAGGCAGTTCAAATGAACAGCGGCAACGCTGCAATACCGGCCGCAGCTCCACAACGCAGCCTCGTAATTGACTTTGACAACTTCCGGACGTGCACCGCCAACAAAGAATGGGTAAGCACCTGCATGGCGAATCAACCATTTATTCGGCAATGCATAGACCTGCGGGAGAGACTTCAACCCTTTCTGTCAGCTCTGAAATGCGACGACGGTTCCAGAGAAAACATCGACGCAAGATCCCCACCCTCCAGTCAAGTTTCTGCTGTGTACGAAGACTTTCCCATGCTCGCGAGTAGCTCACCCAGAGATCTGCCGATGACAACCTATGAAAAAAAACCCTAAACTTGACGAACAGCACAGCCCTGTCATGATGGACAGTAATGAGGATGGCCGACAGGCGGTACGAGGGAAACGTAAATACGACCTGATTTCAGCGCAGCAACGTGAGTCTTCTGATGAAAGGACCCAGAAGCCGCTCACGCAGACGGTTGTTCTCCGACCAGTGTGTAAAATGAACGTCGAGGACTTCTCAACCAAAGAGATTCGCGCCGCCATCGAGAAAACCGGCGTAAAGAACATGAGTGACTTCACCGTGCATAGACACGAAAAAGCGAATACCATCGCCATTACAACCAGGAACAGCTTGCTCGCGGAAAAATTTCTCCAAATCAGGGAAATTCCTACCGAGCAACAAGGCCCACAAGAAGTGCAGCCCTATAAGGCTATGGGCTCCAACGAGGTGAGAGGTGTCATCTACCTTCACTCACCACATGAAGAACCCGAAACTCTCGTAAATGAACTTAACTGCAACACACACAAGATCATCGCGGCCAGAGCCCTGGGCATCAAGAAAAGGACTATTCTAATTACATTCGAGGGACGAACGTTGCCCCGGCACGTTCGCTACGTTTTCGAAGTCTACAGGGTCACAGAATACAGACCAAGGCCGCTGGTTTGTTTCGGATGTCCCCAAATTGGTCACAATGCTGATGTGTGCCCCAATAACATCCGGAGGTGAGGATCATGCGGACAAGAACACGGAAAGGTGGAGGATTGCCAGGCTGCACCAAAGTGCGTCAACTGTAACGGAGCACACGTTGCCACAAGTAACGAGTGCCCTAAAAGGAAAATTCCGCCGAGAAACGACTCGCACAAGAAGCGAACAAAGAAGCCCGCACCGCGAGTTGACGAAGACCTCCAAGATGATATAATCGTTTAGACGCCGTCGCCTTTCCTGCCGCTGTCGGCTCGGCCGGACGTGTCATGGGCAGATAGAGTAAAAATGAATCAAGGAGCATTCAACCCCGTATGTCCACGCCGCCCTATGGCTTGAATGACAGCCGCGGACAAGCAACAATTGAGACTGGGGCAACAGATTCCAGCAGAACAACCTGCAAACATCCTACCGAGAGACCCCTCCGCTTGGGAAGCAAAGCTTTCTGCCGTGTGCCAAAAGGTTGAGGAAGGCCTGGCCTCTATCCAATCCAACACTAGGAGAATTAAAAGATTCGAGTCTCTAGCAACTGAGTTCCTCACCAGAATGAAATCCATCGGGGAAAAAATAGACAGATACGCGGTACCCACCAATGAACGATAGCCAGAAAAAAAAATGTGAAACCGGACGATTCGCAAAGCAAAGACGCACGCCCTCGCCCCTGGATTCTTCAATGGAATTGTAGAGGATTCGCAAACAAAGCAGCGTAGCTGCAACTACGACTTCAAAGAATGAGCAAGAAAAGACCGGCGGTCATTCTCCTCCAAGAGACCAACTCCGAAAGTGTTAAGCTTAGTGGCTACAAAACATACACCACACCATCCATACCGAGAGCGATCCCGCACAAAAAGGGCACGAATAGAGAAGAAACAGTGATCTTAGGACAGGTGGCCATTTTAGTCGACGAGCACGTTCCGCACGCGCAAAGAGAATCGACAGACCTGTGCAACGAAGTGAGAGAGGTAGTCGTAGTACAGATCAAACACAACAAAACGACTCTTACGGTGGCTTCGACCTATATAAGGCCCGCCGTCAAAAGAGGAGATGATATGAGCTGGCTTGCACAAATGAAACCTCGACATAAAAAGGAAGCCATAATAATAGGAGGAGATTTCAACGCTCCACACGAGCAATGGGGCTATAAGCGCTCACAGCCTCGAGGCAAGGCGCTGAAGTGCAAGTCAAAGGAGCTAGGTTTCGTCTTAATCAACGAACCCGGCACGCCCACGAGAATCGGACTTCACGCGAAGCAAGCAGATACCACGCTAGACCTCACGTGGGCAACCAAGAATGTTAAGGCGAACTGGAGAACTATGCAAGACGCAATGGGCAGCGATCACCTGCCCATCAAAATCGAGCTACCGACCAAAGACAGGTACAAACGAGACGCACCCTTCATCAGATGGGATAAGTTTCGCGAAACCATCCAGACGGCCACTTCCTCACTCCCCCTAGACCAACAAATCCAATTAGCAATTAAAGTGGCAACAAAGACCTACAAAGTTAAAGAAGGCACCCCTAACCCTGACCTACATTTGCTCAACCTTTGGGCTGCTAGACTCCAGGCTCAACAGCGATACAGAAAGGCAAAACATAACAATCGTTTCAAGATTAAACTCAACATCGCCACGGCCAAAGCCAAATATTACACAAAGGAGCTCAAGCGGCAAATCTGGAGACGGCACTGCAACTCGTTCAACGAAAAGACTGGCTTGAGGAGAATGTGGCGGACATACAAATGTATGTCCGGCAAGAAACGAAACAAGTGCACTGCTCAAAACCTCGCTATCAGACTAGGAATCGCGGAGGAAGAACTTGCCGTAAGGGCAGGCGAACACTTCTTTCCGCATCCAACACCGCAACAGCTGCAACACCGCTACAGAGAAGTGATTCCTGAACTCGACCATCCGTCCCCAGCTGACGCGCCATTTAACATGGGCGAACTAATGGCGGCTCTGGCTTCGGCAAAAACACCGCGCCGGGGCCGGACAGGATCACAATAACAGCCCTCAAGAATTTACCGAAAGAAAAGAAGACAGAACTACTAAAGTGGTTCAACGAAGTGTGGGAAACAGGACAGCTACCAGAAGCGTGGAAGCTCTCCACCGTAATTCCTATTCCCAAACCAGGCAAGCTCACTGACTCGATTCAGAACCTGCGGTCCATCTCTCTCACTTCGAATCTATGTAAGACTATGGAGAGAATGGTTCTGGCGAGAATCACGTGGCTCCTCGAAATCAACAGCCAGGCATATTGCGCCAGACAGACCGGCTTTAGGCCGGGTCTTTCAACGCAAGACAGTTTGGCAATGATTCACAAAGACGTCACATCAAAACGACCCTGCTACAATCCCCGGCTGATAGTCGTGATCGACATTAAGAAAGCCTTTGATTCCGTACCACATGACGCTGTATTACGTGGCGCAGTAAAGAGAGGGATCAAGGGAAAAACTTTGAAGTTTATTCGGGCCTTTTTGGATGAAAGGAAATTCGAAACGGCTATTGGACAATCCCGAGGACCGAAGACGGAGAATAAAATCGGAGTCCCGCAAGGCGCCGTGATCTCGCCGACACTTTTTAATATGGTGATGGCGGATCTTGCACCCTCACTCGAGCTAATCCCAGATTTGGGATACACAATTTACGCTGACGACATTACCATCTGGATGAAGGGCGGCAGCGTTTCCAAACAAAGTGTCCCGCTGCAAAAAGCACTCGACGCCATACAAGATTTTTCCAAACGGACAGGACTTCAACTGTCACCCGAAAAAACCAACTACATCGCCATTTCTGACCGGAGGGGGCGAAAAGAAAATGTGGGAAGTAAAATCAAACTTTTTGTCAACGGCACACAAATTCGTCAACAACCGACCATCAAGATTCTTGGTATCCCGATCGATGAGAACGGGAAAGCGGGAAGTTGGTATAAGCAAATCAGAAGCCAATGGAAAGAGGCGCTCAACCTAATAAAACGCACCACCGGAAAAACTTGGGGAGCCCAAGATCAGACCCTCAAGACCGTGGTCAAGGCCCTCCTTATGCCTAAAGCAGCGTACGGCATCAACTACCTTAATCTCACCAACGCACAGAAGAACGGACTAGAGGCACTAAACAGGGAAGCCTTAAGAGTTATCGCCGGACTTCCCAAGTGTACCAAAATAGAAACACTTTACCAAATAGCAGGTCTCAACACCATCGAGGAGATCGCGAAAGAAAGCAAAACAAGCCAAGTGCTTAGGCTCCAGAAAACGAAACCGGGACGGGAGATCCTCAAAGATCTCGGGCACTGTAAAGAAACCTACACGGTGTTTACGGAACCTCCCCCACCCTGGCAAGACGAAATAGTGGTTGACACTAGACCCACTCCACAAAATCAAGGAAAGAATGAAGTGAAGAGAAGAAAGCACGCTGCAAGTAAACACCTAGACGATCTGTTAGCACTTCTCGAAGAGGACGAGAGCGCTATTATATACACGGACGCAACAAAAGACGAAAGCGGCACGGCCATCGCATACTACTGTGCGAACACCCACAAACGCTTCGCCACTACACTATGCAGCGAAACCAACGTCAAAGAAGCTGAACTTCAAGCTATTGAGAAGGCCATCATAGATTTCAAAGAATTCAAACTAAAACGTAGACTTTATATCTACACAGACTGCAAAGAAGCAGTTCAAGAATGCAGCAAACACGACAGTCGCAGCAAGACCGTCCGAACAATCAAGACGACGGCCAAACAACTTCGAATTGAAGGATATAACATTAAAATTCCATGGATCCCTGGTCACCAAAGTATCCTAGGGAACGACGAGGCGCATGCAGCCTCACGGGAACAGCTACAAGCATCCCTGCCCGGCCAAGGCTCGACTCGCCCCGTCGACAGAAATGACACAATCGAAGAGACCGATCCGGCTGAACTTAAAGCACAAGAGCGCGAAGAGAGAAGAAGACGCCTCAACGAACAACTCCAACAAGACGAACACCCGCTCCCCTCGACGTCGCACAGCCGATGGGAGAGGGTGTGCCTGCGAAGCCTCCGCACAGGAACGGCCATGACCCCAGCCAGAATAAACAAGTTTAAATGGAAAGACAACGAAGAAGACCCACAAGCCGGATTGTGCGAAGAATGCCTTGTGCCCGCCGATACACAGCATATATTCTGGGATTGTCCAAGTAGTGCAAAAGAAAGAAAGAATGCTTTGGAGTCGCTCTCCCAGCCTGTGAGACCAAGCTGCCTGCAAGAATGGATCCTCCCTGTCGGCTGCCCCGAACACCGGAAGGCAATATTAGATTCCCTGATCGACTACATAAAGTCGGCAGGGCTTGTTCATTGTATATAACACCCTTCACCTTCCTCCCCTTCCTCCTGTTACCAATGTCTAGTTTCAAGGGCGACAGGCATACCCCATCCTCGGTTCGACAAATAAAACATTTTATCTCTCTCTCTCTCTCGGCTAAATTGAAAAGAGTGGATGGCTTTGTGAGAGGAGCTGATTTTCTTTTTCTGGCCCGTAACCTTCTTTAAACCACAGTTTTCTTCTTTTTCTTTTTTAATGTTGGTGACTAAGAGGGATGATGTGATCGGGCGGGTTCACATTATAAATTACAAAGAAATTTGCACCAAACAAGTATTTTTTTTATTTTAAATTTATCTTAAAAAGGCCAACAAGTGTGACGAGATAGCTAAGTCTGGCAAAGTATAGCGATACAAGCGATACATCTTAAATGCATTTCACTTTTGAGATAGAAATACATTTCTCGAATGTATCTCGACACGGAGATTAAGATACTCGAAAGTATAGCTAAAATACTGTAGCAATACCTTTGTATCGCGACGCTGCTAAGCCCTGGTCTACGTGCTCTTAGCAGGACTCACCGCTCAGCGACGCCCAACGACGCGATCCTACACTTGTGCCAGTCATACGGCGGCAAGATCGACAAGCCCTAGCCAGAGACGTCGCACGTGTCCCCGGCCCTTGCAGACCCGGCAATGGCACCCTCGTACACGTACGAAGCGACGGCGACACAGAACGACTCTGTAGGGTTGTGCCGACATGCTTGCGATCAGCTGTTTTACGCAGCTACCATGACCAAGACGGACATGGCGACAGCTCTAGCACTACACTATTAATGGTGCAACCTCTATAGCTACATATAAACGGATGTATCCTTTAATTTAGAGGCGACAAGCTTTGTTTTTAGACGGTTCTTTATTGTAACGTTTTAGAGCGCAGCTCTTAGGCACCTTGCACACATATTAACAAAGCAGCGGAAACGAGCACAAGGACAAGTAGAAGAAGGGACACAGACACAGCGCTGACTCACAACTTGCTCTCTTTTTCGTCGTCTTCAAACACATCAACATAAGAAGACAAAGAAATAAAAAGAATAATCCAACATGTAGGACATCTCCACTGTCATGTGCCATCCAAAGAATTTCTAACAGAAAGTATACCATTACAAAAAAAAAATGATAAAGGAAAATAAATAGTAGAGGAATATATACGTTCCACTTCAGGTCTGAGCAAAGCCAAAACTACAGCGCGAGCCCTAATGCTCTGTGCGTACCTGTCTCGCACGTGGCCTCGCGGTGTGTGGGTACCATTTTTAGGCTGCGTGTACGCGAGAAAGTATTAAACAAACGTGCCCAAACTCTGAACAAACTTGAACTCTTCACTGGATAACGTAACTGACTGACCTTACGCATAAATCGGGACCGTGTTGTCGAGTGTAAAACAATTCATGAATTCACCTTGCCATTTTTTATGAATGTTTAGCCAAATTTCCAATGTCACCTAACCGAGGTGAACAGCCACACCTATCGCAATGAACGGATAGGTGACCCGAAAGTGAAGACCTCAAAGACAGATAATGCTCCCGAGCTCTATCATTAATACATCTTCCCGACTGCCCCACATACGCTTTACCACAGGAAAAGGGTATTTTATAAACGACCCCCACATCATATGTAATGCGATGGTTTATCCCACACCCTACACGTTGAAATCCTGCTCTCTCACGCACAAACGAGATAATTTGGAAGGTGCTGAAAATACTATAAGGACTTCGTATTTAACAGCCACTTTTTTAATCCTGTGGGATATCAAAATTGTCTTATTTGCTTTTGTTAAGCTATCGACTTGAACCAGAAAGCTGTTGAAACTTCTGTGAAAAGAGGATTTCAATAAAGAAGCTCTCAAACATGATTTTGCAGTAGCTCTCTTTACAACCTTTGAGTGCGTAGATTCATAGCTAAGGCGGGACTTTTTTGTTCTAGGCTCATAAGCCCAGCACAGGTGACTCGTTTCAAGACGAATGTTTACGTCCAAAAATGGCAAAGCTTTTTTAGTTGGAACCTCATTCGTAGACCGCAGACCTCTTCGGAGTGCTCTTAGGCCAAGACAGAACTTCTTGAGCCCTGCTTAGGTTTAAACACAACCAGGTAAACATCAACGTACACCATACCTGAAGACTTTCAAAAGGCGATCATCTAACCTTTCTGCAATAGCACAATCACAACCTCATAGGTAGACCCAATGCAGATTCCGGATTTGTGCAGAAACGTGTTGCCCTCAAAAGTAATAGAAGCTGAATTAAAGTAAAAGCCGAGAAGATCCAAAAACTTTTCCACTGAAACACCAGTAAAGTTCAACCGCTTGAATGAGACACCCGTGAGGAATAGAGTAGAAGTACAGTGTTCTAGAGGGTGTAGTCGCAAGAGCGGCGCCCGCTTACAATAGCGAGTTTTAGTAGACGGTATTTCCCCCTCCGCTAAGCCCCTCCGCTACCCGGAACTCTACAGCCAAGGCCATCGGCGCGCAGGCGCAGTGGCGGTTTTTTCGTAGCGGAAGGTTAGCTGTGGGGGAAACACGGTCTACTAAAACTCCCTAATGAAGCGCGTGAAGACGGTCCACGTAGATACCGCGAGTGGCGCTGGAGTTTTGTGCCCTAGGAGAATCAGTGGCACGTGTGCGATGAACGAAGAAGACGACGAGGGTGACGCGGTACGCTTCTGCAAAATGTAGCACCGTAGAACTTCTTTCGCAGCTATTAAGCATCCAGCCCAAGTGATAGCGTTGCCGAACGATGTGTCAGTGCTGGGGGGGGGGGGGGGGGGGGAGTCGATATTAATTAAATAATCTCCCTCAAAACACGCGAATATTTCAAGTAGAGGATAGCACACACTCTAGAGGCATTAGTCCAAAGGCAGACCTACAATTTACTACAGAACAATATTAGCAGTTGTTTCGAAACCGCGAAAAGCTCCAGTCAATCCACAGTAGTAAGCGCCGAACAGAGCTGATGATGGGGCTGACGGGGGCGCGCTCCTAGGGCACAGAACAGCAGCGCCATGGTGTCGTCTACGCACAAAATCTTCACAAAGCGGCCGCCGCTCTTGCCACTACTACCCCCTCTAGAACACTGTACACTCTAAGCCCGGTCCCACTTAGTAAGAGGGACATTTCTTCGATTTTTTCCCACTTAACTTTAAGGGGGGCGACAGACCTCTTAATATTACATGGAGATGCTCCCTCTTAAATAAGTGAGACACCACCCCTCTTAAAGTAAGCGAGGCGGCGTCTCCCTTAAATTTGAGGTCAGAGTCCCTAAATTAAGAGGGACAGTTTTAGAGCGCAGCTCTTAGGGGCCCGTTCCCGGCTTGAGCGGCGTCGGCGTCGCCGTTGGCATAACCAAGGTCATCCCAAGGTCACGTGACCCCCCTGAAGTCACGTGACCCCCCAAGGTCACGTGACCCCCCCTTAAGATATTTTCTTCCTTAAATTCGGAGGGACGGTGGCCCGCTTAAAATGCAGGGGCATAGTCCCCCTTAAGTCGGGGTCACGCTGCTTATACTTCATACAAAATACATTCTGCAGACATGTTCCGAAACGAGTCGCCTCGACATCCGCGCTTCGTACGCCACGAGGTAACCAATCAAGAGGTTACTTTGTCACATGGCATACAAAGCACGGATGCCGCGGTGACTCGCATTGGAACATGTCTGCAGAATGTATTTTGTATGATGTATAAGCAGCGTGACCCCGGCTTTAAGTTACCTCTGTTATTGTATCGTACAATTTCTGCTCCTTCGTGTTTTCAGTGTAAGCTGACATGCTGCACTGCACTTCTCGCACTTTTGCTGATATTGTTTAACCAAAGTTATTTTGTGCTGCGTAGCAGAATTGAAATTTGATCTGTATATCTTGTTTGATAAACGGAATCAATGTGTTAAAGAAAACAGTAACAATCTTTAAGAGTAAACACTGTTTTATTTGCCATGACACAAGAAAATATTTTGATATGTCTTCATCAAAATAATAATTCTATAACGATGTTCTGGTAGCTTTTACGAATAAAAAAAGACTTAGAACGACGCCAGAAATCGGCGTTTCTTGGAAGCTATCACACAAAAAATTTTGTGCTGCAGAGTGACTAATTTTGCCTATCATAAACAACAACAATACAATCGTGCTGGAAAACTAAAAAACTTTTTTTAGCGGATAACACAAAAAGAAAAGTACATTCTAAAAAAAAGCCCGTGCGTCTGCTTTCCCGCACAACACTTGGAAAGACAATCACCATAACTCTCGGAGGCAGCTCAGCGAATGTAGACGCCGAAACATATGATTATACCAAAAAAATGAGTAGCGACATTAAGCACAACAAGCGTGATGTTTTGCATTGGTTAATGTCACAACTCGGACTCGCTTTTTTGGTCTAATCTTATGTTTCGGCATCGTGATTCGCTGAGCTGCTTCCGTGAGTTACGGGGATTGACTTTCCAAGTGCTGGCTCGGGAAAGTAGATTCCTGTGCTTTTTTTTAGAGCGTAGTTACCTACTTCATAGCATTAAAAACTAATTATTCGGCGTCTCTTGCCATCAGCAGAAGCTCAGAATTTCTGTTGTTTTTGAACGGGCATAAGCGATTTTATGAGCTTCTCCGACATAAACTGAATCGAAACACTTTATTTTCAACGAGCAGACCCTAGAGGAGTCCAAGGGTTTGTCCACATGCCACGGGGTAGGAGAGTCCCGTTATGTAATACACCCATAAGCACATGACTAGTGCCCCCTCCATAGTCGTGCTAGCGGTGAGTTTCACTGACCAGTTCCCAGAAACGATCCCTTTCTCCGAACCGAAGAAAGTCTTGGGTCTTGGAACTTTTTCGTCAGGAGGAAAATCGTCCTGCAAGCAGCAATTCCTAAAAAAAAAAAAAAAAATTGCGTCAGCGTCAAATTTAGATTTCTATTTTTGCAATACATTTTAGCGCTCAAAAAACAGGGACAAAGAGGCGAGAAACAGACAGCACAGTGCGCTACTAACAACTGATTTTATTACGTGAAACAACACTTTTATACCATCCGAGTTTCTGATTTTGCTCCACCACTAGCCAACCCGGTGCCAGGCCGCGTCATTGAGGAACGCACGCTCCTTGTCCAGTAAATCAATTGAGGCCACGCTGACACATGCTGCACCACCCTTCCTAATCTCATCTGCCTCGATTATCTCCCTCACAGTTTTTTCCTTGTGCCGTGCCAGAATCTTGCTCTCGGAAAACAACGGCATACACTTGCACCTTTCACAATGATCAGACAGATGACCGTCCCGATAATTTCCTACTTTAAGTTTGTGCTCCCTCAGCCTATCATTAACACACCTACCTGTCTGACCTATATACTTGTTTCCGCATGATAAGGGGATCTGATATACTACTCCCTCCGCACATTCAACGAAGGGATCCCTGTGTTTTACCGCGCAGCCAGAAGGGGCCTTACGAAAAGGATCTGTCATCCTACATAATCTACTAAGTTTGTTTGGTGCGGAAAACACTACGTTCACGTTTGATCTATTGGCCACCTTTTTCAAGCCATGCGCCGTTTTGTGAATGTACGGTATCACCGCGACCTTCTGTTTATCTCTGAGAGCCATTGGGCAAGGCCGATCTTCATTACGCAATCTTTTTAATACGATCTCTGCAACTGAGACCACTACATTCTTCGGGAAGCCAGCTGCCAACAACCGCCTATACTGCGTGCCCAGGCCTTCTGACATCACATGGTGGCATGATTTTTTGAGGGCGTTCAATACGCACATATTGGCAATACTCCTTTTTACCAGTTTTGAATGAGCTGAATTGTACGGCAACAGGGGTTTCTGGGCTCTAGGGTGGTACATCCAACACACATGTCTTTCAGAAAAGGTTAGTCTGATATCAAGGAACTGCAGCACACCCTCTACTGGTAGTTCCTGGGTTAGTATGAGGGGGTGTAAGACATTTTTAAAAACAGTAAAGAGGTCATCCACTCTCGACTGGAATTCTGCAGGCTCATGCTTGAACAGAACTAAAAAATCATCCACAAATCTAAAAACTTTGATTTCATTAAAATCGTTGCCTTCATTAAAGCGCTCAAAAAGAACTTTGTCCTGATGGGCTAAAAATATGTTACTGAGGATGGGTGCCAAACATGAGCCAATGCATACCCCTTGTTTTTGTATATAGACCCCGTCATTCCATTCCACAAACGTCGATTTAAGATAAAACGAGAGCATTTCAATAAAACTCTCTTCCCTCATGCCGATTTGATTCTGGAAAGCCACTGTACCAAAGCGATCGATACAATGTTCCACGGATGTTAGTAACCTGTCGTGCGGCAAAGAGTAGTATAAATCTTTAATGTCAAATGAGCAGGCTGAAAATCCTTTGTCAGAGTTATCTTTTAAAAAATCTAAAATATCGTCAGAATTTCTTACCAAAAATGGATCGTTAAAGCCTAAAACTTCCAATTTGTCTTGGAGGAAAAGCGCGACCGGCTTCTGCCATGAGCCCCTCTCTGATACTATGACCCTCAGAGGACATTGGTCTTTGTGGGTCTTGGCGCTAAACATGATTTGCAAGCTTCCATCTTTGTTCTTATTGATGCTCTGAGCTAGCTGATGAAGGTTCAACATTTTGCATCGTCTCACTGCCTCTAATCTCAGCTTTTTTAGAGACACATCATCTCGGCGATTAAACACTGATGAGATAGCCTCAAGGGCTTTGCTACCGAATTCTGCTTCCGTTAAAACTACGAATCCTCCCTCCTTGTCAGCTGGAAGGAGCGAAAGCCGTTGTTCTTTTAAAAACGACACCACTTTTTTGACCTGACCTTGAGACACCGCTGGTTTGTTTCGAAGTATCACGTCCACTCCCTCTGAAATACACCTTTCTACCTCCCCTTCTGGAGCAAATCTCGAAACTCTACGAACAAGACCTATTAGTTCTGGTGGACTCAACTTTGGTTCAACGGCGAATTTCGGTCCAAAACCGAGAACTCGTCTTACATCATCCGGGATGGGCACTTGACTCACAGATTGGACGTTCCCACGGGCCACCGGTTGCCTCTTCGGAAGACTGGCCCTGAGCTTCTGTAGTGTCAGCCGCCAAAGGAATTCCGTGTTGCGTTCCACGATGTTGAAGAACTCCCGCAGACGGTGGTTGTCCTGATTTCCTTGGTTAGAGTCGCACAAAACGGCTCTCAGCAGGTCCCTGTAGACACGTGCCTGCCTCTGCCATTCAGCTCGCAGGATCTTCATCAACCTTGTGCTGTGCCCAGCTGACGGCTCAAAACCTCCAAAGAGCCTCTTGACTTCCTCAGGTGGATTCTTGCCACGAATGCAGAACGACAAAATACGGGCTTGGCATGTGGCGTGAATCAGAAGTGGTACAATGGAGCATGGTTTCAACGAAGAACAAATAAAAGGGCCCGTTGTACAAGAAATAAATTTCAGTAGAGTCGATTGTTGGGCTAGTTGGTTTTGGAATTTGGAATACATTTTAGCGCTCAAAAAACAGGGACAAAGAGGCGAGAAACAGACAGCACAGTGCGCTACTAACAACTGATTTTATTACGTGAAACAACACTTTTATACCATCCGAGTTTCTGATTTTGCTCCACCACTAGCCAACCCGGTGCCAGGCCGCGTCATTGAGGAACGCACGCTCCTTGTCCAGTAAATCAATTGAGGCCACGCTGACACATGCTGCACCACCCTTCCTAATCTCATCTGCCTCGATTATCTCCCTCACAGTTTTTTCCTTGTGCCGTGCCAGAATCTTGCTCTCGGAAAAGAAAAGAAAAGCAAGATTCTGGCACGGCACAAGGAAAAAACTGTGAGGGAGATAATCGAGGCAGATGAGATTAGGAAGGGTGGTGCAGCATGTGTCAGCGTGGCCTCAATTGATTTACTGGACAAGGAGCGTGCGTTCCTCAATGACGCGGCCTGGCACCGGGTTGGCTAGTGGTGGAGCAAAATCAGAAACTCGGATGGTATAAAAGTGTTGTTTCACGTAATAAAATCAGTTGTTAGTAGCGCACTGTGCTGTCTGTTTCTCGCCTCTTTGTCCCTGTTTTTTGAGCGCTAAAATGTATTCCAAATTCCAAAACCAACTAGCCCAACAATCGACTCTACTGAAATTTATTTCTTGTACAACGGGCCCTTTTATTTGTTCTTCGTTGAAACCATGCTCCATTGTACCACTTCTGATTCACGCCACATGCCAAGCCCGTATTTTGTCGTTCTGCATTCGTGGCAAGAATCCACCTGAGGAAGTCAAGAGGCTCTTTGGAGGTTTTGAGCCGTCAGCTGGGCACAGCACAAGGTTGATGAAGATCCTGCGAGCTGAATGGCAGAGGCAGGCACGTGTCTACAGGGACCTGCTGAGAGCCGTTTTGTGCGACTCTAACCAAGGAAATCAGGACAACCACCGTCTGCGGGAGTTCTTCAACATCGTGGAACGCAACACGGAATTCCTTTGGCGGCTGACACTACAGAAGCTCAGGGCCAGTCTTCCGAAGAGGCAACCGGTGGCCCGTGGGAACGTCCAATCTGTGAGTCAAGTGCCCATCCCGGATGATGTAAGACGAGTTCTCGGTTTTGGACCGAAATTCGCCGTTGAACCAAAGTTGAGTCCACCAGAACTAATAGGTCTTGTTCGTAGAGTTTCGAGATTTGCTCCAGAAGGGGAGGTAGAAAGGTGTATTTAAGAGGGAGTGGACGTGATACTTCGAAACAAACCAGCGGTGTCTCAAGGTCAGGTCAAAAAAGTGGTGTCGTTTTTAAAAGAACAACGGCTTTCGCTCCTTCCAGCTGACAAGGAGGGAGGATTCGTAGTTTTAACGGAAGCAGAATTCGGTAGCAAAGCCCTTGAGGCTATCTCATCAGTGTTTAATCGCCGAGATGATGTGTCTCTAAAAAAGCTGAGATTAGAGGCAGTGAGACGATGCAAAATGTTGAACCTTCATCAGCTAGCTCAGAGCATCAATAAGAACAAAGATGGAAGCTTGCAAATCATGTTTAGCGCCAAGACCCACAAAGACCAATGTCCTCTGAGGGTCATAGTATCAGAGAGGGGCTCATGGCAGAAGCCGGTCGCGCTTTTCCTCCAAGACAAATTGGAAGTTTTAGGCTTTAACGATCCATTTTTGGTAAGAAATTCTGACGATATTTTAGATTTTTTAAAAGATAACTCTGACAAAGGATTTTCAGCCTGCTCATTTGACATTAAAGATTTATACTACTCTTTGCCGCACGACAGGTTACTAACATCCGTGGAACATTGTATCGATCGCTTTGGTACAGTGGCTTTCCAGAATCAAATCGGCATGAGGGAAGAGAGTTTTATTGAAATGCTCTCGTTTTATCTTAAATCGACGTTTGTGGAATGGAATGACGGGGTCTATATACAAAAACAAGGGGTATGCATTGGCTCATGTTTGGCACCCATCCTCAGTAACATATTTTTAGCCCATCAGGACAAAGTTCTTTTTGAGCGCTTTAATGAAGGCAACGATTTTAATGAAATCAAAGTTTTTAGATTTGTGGATGATTTTTTAGTTCTGTTCAAGCATGAGCCTGCAGAATTCCAGTCGAGAGTGGATGACCTCTTTACTGTTTTTAAAAATGTCTTACACCCCCTCATACTAACCCAGGAACTACCAGTAGAGGGTGTGCTGCAGTTCCTTGATATCAGACTAACCTTTTCTGAAAGACATGTGTGTTGGATGTACCACCCTAGAGCCCAGAAACCCCTGTTGCCGTACAATTCAGCTCATTCAAAACTGGTAAAAAGGAGTATTGCCAATATGTGCGTATTGAACGCCCTCAAAAAATCATGCCACCATGTGATGTCAGAAGGCCTGGGCACGCAGTATAGGCGGTTGTTGGCAGCTGGCTTCCCGAAGAATGTAGTGGTCTCAGTTGCAGAGATCGTATTAAAAAGATTGCGTAATGAAGATCGGCCTTGCCCAATGGCTCTCAGAGATAAACAGAAGGTCGCGGTGATACCGTACATTCACAAAACGGCGCATGGCTTGAAAAAGGTGGCCAATAGATCAAACGTGAACGTAGTGTTTTCCGCACCAAACAAACTTAGTAGATTATGTAGGATGACAGATCCTTTTCGTAAGGCCCCTTCTGGCTGCGCGGTAAAACACAGGGATCCCTTCGTTGAATGTGCGGAGGGAGTAGTATATCAGATCCCCTTATCATGCGGAAACAAGTATATAGGTCAGACAGGTAGGTGTGTTAATGATAGGCTGAGGGAGCACAAACTTAAAGTAGGAAATTATCGGGACGGTCATCTGTCTGATCATTGTGAAAGGTGCAAGTGTATGCCGTTGTTTTCCGAGAGCAAGATTCTGGCACGGCACAAGGAAAAAACTGTGAGGGAGATAATCGAGGCAGATGAGATTAGGAAGGGTGGTGCAGCATGTGTCAGCGTGGCCTCAATTGATTTACTGGACAAGGAGCGTGCGTTCCTCAATGACGCGGCCTGGCACCGGGTTGGCTAGTGGTGGAGCAAAATCAGAAACTCGGATGGTATAAAAGTGTTGTTTCACGTAATAAAATCAGTTGTTAGTAGCGCACTGTGCTGTCTGTTTCTCGCCTCTTTGTCCCTGTTTTTTGAGCGCTAAAATGTATTCCAAATTCCAAAACCAACTAGCCCAACAATCGACTCTACTCTATTTTTGCATTCGCTTTTTCACATACCATAGGTGATGAAAGAACTTCTGGCCAATCGAGACCGGAGGATGGTCTTAATGTTCAAGAATGTTGGGTTGTCTCCGCAGAAGGCCCCTTTTACCTCCTCCAGGTTTCCCAGCATGGTGACGGTCGTGTTATGGAACCGAAGTTGTGCATCCACCTTTAGCTGAATGAAAGACCATATTGTTTTCCTTTAGATACAGAGGGTGGGAATTAGAATAAAGGTAATGAAGCGCTTTCACCTGTTATCAAGCAGGCGATAGGAAACAAATGCGAAAATAAAGTGCAAACAGTTCAAAGATTCGGAACCCAATCTGTATACGATGAAATAGCGAGTGACATTGGCTTATGACGCAACTTCTGCTACTATTAATTTTTGGTACGAGAATAGACTGCAGTTTTAATTAATTTACGAGAATCAATTGTTTCTGTATTACCAAGACAAAACGAAAACGCATTTAGTAGTAGATGAACTTTAGAAGCCCCATGTGCTTTGGAAAGCATGGATTGCATTTGCGGCTCGAAGCTGCAGAAGTGATCTAGTGCATGTTTAAGAAAGCAACATAATCAAATAAAAAATTACATTTCTGTAAATATTTCGCCTCAAGCCATTCATTTTTTTTTTTTTTTCAGAAGCAGTGCATATGCCAACAGTACGTAAATAGAGCCTACCTACATACCGGAATACAAAAAGTTAATAATTACCGAGTTCGTTGTGAACCGTGTGCGGGTGGCCGCAGTAGGCTCACCACTCAGGGTGGTGCGTTCCACCGTGCAGAGGGTCCCGGTAGAGCTCTTTACACGAGCAATCCGAGCGGAGCCCCCGCCTGATTCCCTTCATGTCAACGTTCGTTGCCATTGCCCCACTCTGAAAATAAGATTGTTAATAACGGTCAGTCATTTAACGCCCACAGTCAAACTAGCCCTAAAGCGCATAAGAAAGAGAAAACAAAAAGAAAAAAAAAAAGCAAACTTCTGTTTATATAT